CCAAAATACTGGGAATATAAGAAATGAAGAAATGACACTGACACTTATGTGATTATGTTTTAATAAAGTGTAGGCCAAGTTTGGAATGGAAAAGCATGGAATTTTTCCCTAGTGTATCTCTATTGTTCTACAGAGCAATAATTTTAACTTGTCTATTGGAATATTTACAAATCAGAAGTGCAATAAGATACAAAATTCATTGTCAGGAAACAAAACCAAGCTGTAGTTTTACAGGCTTTAACCCCTTTCTTTTTCCCTTACCCCTATTAGTAATGGCATCAACAGTGCTGATTGTGAGTCTGGGATCAGGCCTCTAGTGCATAAAGATACCCTAAATTTTAGGAAATAGAGGAAATAATAAATTTATCCTCCAACATCATATATATTTCATTTACTTGTTTATCATGGGAAATGCTGAATGAAAAATCTAGTTGTGCCTAATAATAGCCTAAAATACGGCAAATAGAAGAAGAAAGTTCATAAAAGATTTTTCTTTTTTTTTTTTTTTTTTTTTTCCTTTGCCAATACGTGCTCTATACAATCCTTAAATTCCCCTTTTTTAGTAAGTAAGACCCATGCTCGTAATTCTTTTGGAAAAGAAATTGAATAAGGCAAAGATAATCTGTTTTAGACTGAAATAATAGAGGTTTTGCTCCCACAAAGATGCAAGTAAGCATTTCATTTTAAAGGAAAGAGAGCCCCAAGTCTTCATTCAATATTTAATGTTTATATTTTATACTCTTCATAATGGGGAATAATTCAGTCAATGTAGTATTTTGGATGTGAGCAAAGTTCAAACATGAAAAATCCATTTGGACTGTGTGTGCTGCATATGAGAAACCTCTAAGGGTATTTAATCATTCAGAATAAGAAAGGTTTCTTTAATTTTTAAACGAATATTTCATTTTATGTTTTATTTAAATTGTCTTAACATTTACATAGAACCCCTTGAAGGTTTGAAAACTTGAAATTTATGTTATATTAAATAATAAATAATTATGAAGTATAGCATATGTGGAAAAGCAGAAAGAAAAGATACTATTTGAGTATGATATGGTAATTGCAAAATATGACTTGCAGAAATTATTAATTTATATAGAGCTTATTTGTTTAAAAGAAACTGGAAACTAGATTCCCAATGAAGTTCTGTGGTGATGCTGTTCGCCCTCGATAGTATGAATATTTAAAGGAATAAGATACATGAGAAACATGCAAGTTAACTTGAAAAAATGTAATTAATTGCCACTTATGAGACAGGGGAGTTGCAACCACAAGGGTAAATTCTGTTCCTGTATGTTAATGAGATGGACACTCTTGGAATTACGCAGGACATAGGGACTAAAGAAAGCTGGGATTGTGATGCTGACAACCTTGGGGAAAAATACTTAAGATGGCAAAGTCTAAGCATTGTAAACATGGAAGGGAACTTCACCAACTTCATGGTAAAATGTTGTACAGCCACAAGGGACCTGACCCAGCAAAGGGAAGAACGTTGGGAGTAGGAAGTTTGAATAAAAACAAAAAAAACGAAATGGAAAGCATTGCATTTAGTAACTTCTTGTAGTTTTAAACTGCAATTCCACTCGGACAATCATTTTCATAGTCATTTTTCCATCTTTGCATAATTATAAAATGTATGTTCTAGTAATATGCATTTGTCCTAGGTTGCTGTGTCAGATTTTATTGGTACTCCCTTGAGTGTGTATCATCTCCTCATGGTATTGCATAAGGCCCATGTAAAAGACTTGCAAAAACCTTTGTTGTTTGACCAGCAGTATTAAAAATAATTTATTTAATTCCAACTTAAATGTGCTTATAACAGTTTACATGCTGTAATTTTTGATGATAGCAGCAAGATGCTAATCTACTTGTGTGTGCTGGATATTTTTGCTTATAATTCTTGGCTTGTTCAGCATTTGGGGGCTATTTACTGTTGCTAATATTTGAGCCTTTTCCTGTTTTACTAAAGAAATAATGTTTTAATTGAAGGTGTTAACCCTTAAAAGACTGTTGCCTACCCTTTCCTGGATAGTCCTAAATGCTATTGTTACTTGACAGATTTATGTTCATTGCAGAATTTATTTTTTGTTTTGGAACAGAAAGTTTGATAGAAAAGTTGCAGGGAAAAGATGTTCCCATTAATTTTAGCTTTTAAGAATAACTAACAATTATTATTAGCCACGTTCAGTGGTCTTTTTATTATTGTTATTGTGGTTGTTGTTAAGTTTCATACTTATGCAAAATGTTACCTGATGATTTGGTATGACTTCTATGTAATTTTCAAGCAAAATGCACATCATCTTATATCAATCTGTGTTATTTGTCATTGATATCTAAAGTCATTAGAACATCTTCACATACTGGCAGTATTCTCAGAGCCTTAATATGAAAAGCATCATTTAGAATGGGTAAGAAGAAAATAAGGAGATGGTTCACACCAACAAAAGTTTATATAAAAGCTTCAGTATCTTTTTATTAAGATAAATCTTTGGTTCAAAAATAGCTTATGTGTGTTTGGACCAAGGTATCCTCCAGATTTTTAAAAACAGTATTGAATATTTGTTTTAACGATTTCCAGATTAGTTCTATTTGGTAAGTGAATGTTCAAAAACAAATATTTAAAATCTGCCTCATGTTTCTGTTGTTCGTTTATGGATAGCAGGTTGGTAAAAGTCTTTTCTTCACTTCTTTCCCGCCTACGTTAAAAGCACGTTTTCTGTCACGCAGCCGGTGCAGTTTTCCCGTAGGGACATATAATGCAGTTCATCAAAATGAAAAAAAGTGAGTCACACCATGATTTATTTACTCATTGGAAAGACAAGACAAGACAATAATGGTGTTGACGGTTACCCAGACGTACTTCCATCTCTTTAGATTATGGAAAAGCTGAGGGTGAAGAAAAAAGTCTTTATGACTATTTTTAAGTTGTCATCTAGTCTATAACTATATGGTAATTACTGTCTCATTTATTGCTTTTTGTTGCCTTTTGGCCACAGTGTGCAGAAATGTTGCTCAGAATTTGAAATAGTATTTAATGCTGTAAGTTATGAAAAAGAAGTTCCTTCCTCACAGTATAATCAATTTATATTTATTATCACTTTATCGTTTTCGTTGGATTTTGCTAGACATTTTAGAATCTCAGATGATATCTGTCTCATGTCCATGGGCACAAGATATTTACATTGAATATTGCAAAATTTGTTTTCCTGAATCTCTCCATATTTTAAAAATAAAATTTTCTCACTGTTCCTGCATGCCGATTTCAATGCTATGCCGCTTATACTGAAGAACTTGGTTTCATATGTAAGATTTTTCCTATGTCTGCTAGACTAATGACTTCAGCTGAGCACAGTATTCCCTGCCCGCTCTTTTGGCTTTTCCATCTCTATGGATGGATTCCAGAAGCTGTTCCTGCATCCTGCAGTATGGGTGGGTATGGTGAAGACTTGAAAAAGAAAGTAGAGCAAAAAATGAGGTGTTTTTACTAAACAAGTGCTGAACTAAGTGTTTATTAACATTGCCACAATGTGGCAAGAGCCACATTAGTTTTCAATCTCATCCCAAGGGATAACTGTTCATGTGACGTGCAGCAATGTTATCCCCTTATCCACAAACTGTAAGCTAGAAGGTTGATGTTCTTGGGGAGAATTTGGGACTTGTAAAGTTTTAGGGTCTGCACATTTAGACCAAAATGTGCCTATTGCCAAGAGTGTTATCCAATATTAAGACTACACCTGGAGTGTCCTTTCAAAGGCGTAAAACCAGAAATGGTGCCTAAATTTAATCTCCAACTCAGAAAGCTACTATATGGAATTCAGCGTTTGGAATCTCTTTCCTGGCTGTGTGGTTGGCATCCAGCAGAGGCAGCACAACTGGATTTATTTTTAACAGTTCTTTCCCTACCACTTGAAATGGGGGAAAGGGGGAGGAGGGGGTTTAAAAAGTAGGGAACGGGGAAGGAGAATTCTTATAATGTAACCTAAAGGTTGTAAGGACTGATAAACAAAGATGGCAAGAACACAAAGGCTGATGGTATCCTGTTCAGTAAGTGCTGTGTGCAGAATTTTGATGGTGAAATGTTCAAGCTTTGTCATATAGGAAGGAAAATCGGTTTTGTAGCTGGACATCAAAATAGTTTATAGTGGTCTAATGTTCATATTTTTATTAATGTAGTAGATTCCTTACATGAGCAAAAGTGTTGAAATTATTCCCATGTATGAGAGACATCAAAAAATGCCATCATGTCTTATTCCTTGTGTATTCTTTTCGTTTCAGCTACTGCACACCTTATTTTTTTTTTCCCCAACTCCAGTGAACTGTGTAATGCTGTATAGTAAAACATGAGATCAAAAACTGAAATCTAATTGTTTGGAATTAACTTTGTGTGTCTATAATCAGGCACTCTAGGCTTATTTTCTGGGGATTTGTGTAACCGCAGTTCCATCCATCTAGCTGGTGTTAGTGAGAAGCAAAGATGGTCAGCATCAAATGTTCATCCCAAACACAAGATTATTTGTGATGCTTTTACCACTGCCTTCAGTTACTAACCTAGTATCTAACTTTTAGACCCTGGGTATGTAGCCTTTATTTGTCCAGGTAGTAAAGAATTTATCTCTGAAATGCTGCTCCATGCATTAAATTCACTGCTTCACTTCTGTACAAAGGCTCATGTCAGCCTTTATTGCTATGTTTTTTTTTGCCTTTGGCATTGAATAGCTCTTTGGTTGAGCAACTGTGTGGGAGATGTTCAGAAGTTTGATAATGTAGCTTCAGGGAGTCATTTTGAAAGGAAAACATTTAAGGAAAGTTGGTCTAAGCCCCACTTGCACAGAATCAGACTCCTCCAAGTACCTGAAGCTGTTTGTGAGATAGTATACCTGAATTCAAACCTTGACTTTTTGCTGTGTTGTATATGTGCTGTATTTATTCATGAGCAGCTTATGTTGTCCATTGTGACTATATATTTGATACTCAAATAGAGAATTTTCATTTATTCTCAGCAAACTGCATTCAGAGGATGAGAAGAACACCTCCACTAGATGAACTGCAGCCACCTCCCTACCAGGATGATAGCGGTTCTCCTCATCTTTCATGTACACCCTCTGAAGTTGGAGATGGTAAATGTGAATTTTCCCAGTGTAGCAACAGTCCAAGGTGTTCATATAAGTGCCCGAGTGAGGGGAGCACAGGGCATGAAATAGAAAGCTTCCATAATAAAGGATATGAAGAGGATGTTCCAAGCGATAGCACAGCTGTCCTGAGTCCAGAGGTGAGAACAACTGAATGTTCTGAAACAAAAGGTGCAGTGCAAACTTTTGGAAGGGTTTTTTTCCTAAAGATCAGTTTACAGAGGTATGAATGCTAATATTGGAGCTCATCCATAAAAAATGGAGCTTGTCAGATAATAATACAGTAAGACTCCAGATTTTTCTTTATATTTACATTTATGACAATTTAGCTTTCAAACAAATTCTCTAAATACCTCTCCGGGTAGGTCTACACAGGTGCCATGGCGCATCCTCACGTGAAGTCTTGGAGTGCACAGTAGGAGCAGTCTTGATGCGTCAGCAGCAGTTTCTCTCTTGGTAGAGCTGCAGTTGGTGTTGGCCTTTGGGGCATTAAATGCAGCATGTGGAGCACTCGCCTACCAGGATGGTGTGGGGTTGTCCAACATGTAGCTGTGGGCCTGTGCCTGGTGGTCAGTTTGTATGAACTTCATTGCTAGAGAAGACACTGGGTATATATGATCCTGAACCGTAACAGATCTCAGCAGATCAAACCCTGCTCCTCCCTTTTTTGTCACAGTGGGCAATAATCTAGATGTACCCAGGGGGAATGGCAGATGCTGCCTGTTTTTTTAATAGCCACTCAACAGCTTGTAAAATGAAGCTTGCAGAGGAATGAATCCCCATAGGTACATAGCATCGAGTTTAAAATAAGAGCAAAACATTTGTGTATCAAAAAGACTATTCATTTTTAAAGCAAGCATATATTTGATAGTATGGAATAAGTTTGTTTTAAATATTTTAAATTACTTCTGGCTATTTGTTAACTTTTAGTATTTCTTTTGTTGACCTGTATTTGTAAATAATTTTTGTTTCATTATTATCAAACTAGCTGTTGTAAAAAACACAACAGATCAACAATTAAAGTGACAGTTTCAGGATTGGCATTGCTTAAGGAAAATTCGGAGAGCATGTTCAAAATAGACATGTCTTACAAACATAGTTCTAATGGAATTACATTAATAAAGCCATATTATTTTTGATACATGCGTAGGAGCCTTTGACTGCAGCAGATGCTGCAAGTACTGTATTTTCTGTTTTTCATTCTTGCATCACGCTATGCTCTCAATCACCAATCTAAAGTATGTTAACTCAAAATGTGGATAAGCTCATACTAAAATCACATAGTTTCAATAGTTTCATCCTGTAGCAAATGTATGTGTATTTTAATGTGGGGAACAGAAGATGAGCTCTTAAGTACAGCTGAATTAATCCTGGTTGGCATTTAATACTGCTTTTTGGCAGTATTGATTAGGTCAAAATTTTTTATTTTTATTTTTTCCTTAGGCCAATGAGCCATTCACACTTTCAATTTTTAATTACCTTGTTTACGAAGTGAACAAAGATCACAGTCACTTCATGCTGCTTAGCAAAATCCTTATATTTCCATGCCAGCTTTAATAATAGAATACAATAAATAAAGAAATAAAGGCTTTTTTCCTTGTTTGTTTGTGTTGTTGTTTTCTTCTTCAGGATATGTCAGCGCGAGGATCATCTTCGCAGCTTCCTAAGCCTTTTGATCCAGAGCCTGTAGCTAAATACGGCACTCTGGATGTGACTTTTGACTATGACTCCCAGGAACAGAAGCTTCTGGTGACAGTGACGGCTGTCACAGACGTCCCAACGTACAGCAGGGCAGGTGGGAGCTCGTGGCAAGTGCACCTAGTTCTTCTTCCGATAAAGAAGCAGAGAGCAAAAACCAGCATCCAGCGGGGCCCCTGCCCTGTCTTCACAGAGACATTCAAATTTAATCACATCGAGTCAGAGATGATTGGGAATTATGCAGTTCGCTTCAGACTGTACAGCGTACGGCGCATGAAGAAGGAGAGGGTTGTGGGGGAGAAGATTTTTTACCTAACAAAATTGAATCTTCAAGGGAAGATGTCAGTACCGGTGATACTGGAGCCTTCTTACAATGTGTCTGTGAGTATTAAATGAGGCAGAATAAGAATGCAGTGACGTGCAGTGTCCTGAATTTTGTAAGAGTACTGTATATATTTATAGTCATCACAACCACTGAGGATTTTTTGACAGTCATAGTGCAGTAATTGCAAAGATTTCACGATAGCTTCTTTAGGTACATTTTTTTTTGTCTGCAAAAGCTGCCCATATTTTTTGTACTTAGTACTTAGAGATTTCTAGTCTCTAATTACTTAAAGATTTCCAGTCTATGAATTATAGTGGTGAATGCACACATCTATGTGGTATACATATTTGTGTATCGCAGTAAATTCTTTACCATTCAATTAAAAGAAAAAAACACACTATGCTACTACTGCCTGCTGTCTGCTGTAATTAAATGTTGTTTGCAATAGATATTTTCCTTTCAAGGCAGAAAAACAGGAAAGAGGACTTTTGAGAGTGCGAAGCCAATTTAATAACTTCAGATTAGAACTATGTAAATATTTAATTTCTGGTTTGGTCTGAAATGAAAAATATAATAAAAAATAATTATAATTCCAATTTAAAAGGACTTTTTACTTGGAATAAAATGCTTTCTTTCTTTCAAATTATTTATTAATTATTTGTCTTGAATATTTTTAATTAATAAAATAGGATAATTACAAACTTAGGTATCTTTATCAAGCGGGATAGGATTTGGGTCTATGTTCACTTTACTCCCTTGTCCAGTGGGGAGGCAGCTGCCAGTGGTACAGGAGGTTTCACAGGAATCTCCCTTCTTTCCAAGGGAGATATGTCACATCCCATATCTTTCAGGAGTCTGTGCTAATCCTGCAATCACTGTTGGAGGCTTTTGGTAGGGAAGAAGATGATGACTTGCTGAGGGCTTCCATCCTTCTTTTTTTTTTTTTTTTTTTTTTTCCCCCTTTTGCTATAAAGAAAAGAAAAAGAAGAGGAAAATGAAAAGCAAGGAAACACCTTTTCAGTTGAAGCAATACAGTTAACATGGGCAAATTGGGTAAATAGGGGGGGCATTTTCATTGAATATGAATTATTAGCTAGAAAAAAAAATCAGCCATATTTTAAAACACATGCAAAATAAAATGCCATTGTATTCAATGAGTAAAAGTAAATTAATCAGTAAATGCTGAGACTGAAGCATAGATCTGATGGAGGGCCAACATACAAGAGCAGAGCTATTTTTATGATTCCTGAAGAAGTACAAATCCGTTTGAAGGACAGAGCGATTCACTTATCTAGTGTGAACGTTCGTAATGCAGAGTTTGCTGATTTCAAAATCAGGAACAAAAAATTCTAATTTTACTTGCTAAATGTATGTTTTTTATGTATTCTTAGTATGACCTGGTAAAAAAAAAAATTACCAAAGTGAATTGAAAGAGTCCAGTGTGTGTGTTAGGCCTTTGATATATATCCCCATGTACACACTGAGTTCTTTCCTGTGCTTGTGTGGAAGAGAGTGTATAACCAAGTTGGGGAAGTCATCATAGAACAGAATAATTCACAGAATTCACAGAATATTTAAGGTTGGAAGGGACCTCTACAGATCATCTAGTCCAACCTTCCTGCTCAAGCAGGCACACCTAGAGCATGTGGCACAGGGCGGCATCCAGGCGGGTTTTGAAGACCTCCAGAGTAGGAGACTCCACAACCTCCCTGGGCAGCCTGTTCCACTGCTCTGTCACCCTAACAGTAAAGAAGTTGCTCCTCACCTGGAGACGGAACTTCTTATGCTTCAGCTTGTGGCCATCACCCCTCGTCCTATCGCTGGCCACCAGTGAGAACAGCCTGTCCCCTTCCTCCCTGCATTCTCCCTTCCTGAACTTATACATATTAATCATATCCCCTCTGAGCCGTCTCTTCTCCAGAGAAAACAGGCCCAGCTCACTCAGCCTCTCTTCATACGAGAGATAATAAGAGAATAAGGTTGTTTATTTTTGGTGATGGCAAGGCCAAGGAATCTGCATACCTCCCTGCTTTCTTTTTGTGAAGAAGTAGAAAAGGACAATTAAAGAATGTTGGTAGAAGGTGAGGAGGTTTTCCAGTGTGTTTCAACAGAGCCCACGCAGATTTCTGTTAGCCCTACCTCTTGCTTGAAAGGAACCTTCATTGTCTCAATAACTTGAATGGGCATCCACGTTGTTTGGGAGTTCAGATAATCAACTTCTAAGCATGGGGAAATTCATACATAAATTCATTTATAAATGCCAGTCTACTTTTCTTATTAAAATAAGTCTTTTGTTTTAATTTGGAGAGATACAACTGCTCTAGGATATTTGTTATTAGAAAATTCTTAAGCAGATGCATTGTAAATTCAGAATTAGATTTACCTTGTTCAGTTAGAGTGTTTTATTGCTGGCAAGTGTTTGTATTTGTAGGTTTTTTTTTTTTTTTTTTGTACACATATGTTGCCCCGTTTATTGCATTGCTTCTTGTTACATACATTTTAATATATTAAATATACCTTCTGTCACTGAAACTTGCTAATCCTTTGAAACAGCTATGGCAATCTTTTCTGCAGAAATGTATTTCATTTGCTTCTTTTTGTGCCTGGTGCTGTATTAATACATTTTAGTTGCTAATCATTTGCCTTATGGTTGCTTAAGAAGAGTTTGTATCCTTGTGCGTCCTGGAAGTTTTCACTCTATGCTTCAGCCTTCGACTTTGTATTTAGTATGCAGTTCTTGCATTTGCAGCTTGTATCTATAGTCTTATTGCCATTTGTCTTACAGTCCTTCACTAAATTGTTGCTCAATCATAAGAGGAGGTATTTGCATGTATGTGTTTGTGGTTATATGCAAATAAGGATTTTTTTTTCTCTTTTCCTCTTCAATCTCCTTCCTTAAAGAAAAACAAATTTCCATGAGTAATGAAATGCTTTAGGCTTGGTTTAGGCTTGGTTTCCTTTGGGCTTGTCCTACCTCTGCTCTGCCACCTAGTCCCCATTAGCCTGGGGACATTGGTTAATAGCATTGGTTCAAAATATATATCTTTTTTTGCTAAGTAAATGTAGTCATGTCTGATCTTTCATTGCTAATAAGGGAATGTTTGCTGTAAAGAGTTAAATTTAACTTTCTTTAGGAATCATATCATAGGGAGCAAAAAATGGGCGAGGTAGAGAGTCATATGTATCTTAAGGATTTATATATATATATTTTATATATATATATATCTTGTAAATATCTGGAATTCTTGGCAAATAGTTACAGTTTAAGTGCACTAGGGCATTTATGCCTGTAATGTATAAAACTGCACATTCGCTCTCTCTGTAGACTTTGGGGACAATGGTTAATCATGTGGGATCGCACTGTTTGTGCATTATGCCTAAGGAATTTATTCCATGTCACCCTTTACACAGGGTATATCTTCAGTATTCTTCCTAATAGATGTATATTAAGCCTTCTTTTTTTCTTCAGTTGATATTTCTCAGTTGAAAAAAGCTTTCTGAAATGGCTTGTCTTCCAGGGAATTCTTTATTCATTATAGAGCAGAGCTGTCAGGTTTGGTGCAAATGCTAATATTTTATACCTCTGGTGATTTTACTATTGTTCTGCTATGCTATGGGCCATTCAGCATTGTATTGGGAAGGCTAAATATTCAAATTCATATATTTCCTCCACAGTAATGTATTTTTACTCAGTAGTGACTACCAGTATGATACCAAGGAGAAAATAACTAAGGCTTTTCTAAGAGACTCACATAAAACTCTTTTTTTTTGTAATGGAAAATATACCTAAAAGTAAATTTATTTAAGGATTCCTATGTGATGGTGCATAAGTGCTTTTATTTTGTTTATAAAGTTATGTCTGCCAAAGTAAGGGGCAGTTATCCCTTAACGATGAGAACATTCTTATCCTGACCATGGCTTGCTGCACTTAGCAATTTACCATGCAGTAAGACAGAAAGGATCAGTAGCAGTTCTCTGACACATTAGGGAAAGGAATTCCCTGAAGAAAATTATTAAGTGACTGGAAAGAGGCGATCCTGTTCCCGAGGCTGCAGGAGGGCTTGGCAGTGTTTGGCACATGCCGCAGTGTCCCTGCCCGGCCGGCTTGGCCCCTCCTGGAAGCGGAACCTGCCGCCTCCGTGGCGCCCTGGGTGCCTCACGTGTTGTGTGGCCATTCCCTACGGGAGCACTGCTCCCCTCGGGTGAGAAGGAGTGCTAGCTTCACCTGGGTGAGATGGCAACAGGGGAGAAAAACCACAAAATCCTGGGGCTGTAGTGCTCTGGAGCCAGTTATCCGTCTGCACTGGTCTTATGGGTGCAAGTTCCTAGAAGGCAGGTGAGGTCTGACCCAGATGGTAAGGACCTATCACTCCATGAGTTTAATGGCCTCAGTTAAAAATTGCTTGCCTTTCAAATCAGCATTAATTGCTTTTCCTGGTTTTCTGCAAATATGTCTCAGAATTCATGCCAAATTGTGGCATGTAATTGGTCTGTTCATCCAAGAAGCACTTGGTTAGGCATTGACACAATGAGAATGTTTCACCACCATACACAGTAACCTTGATGCTTCCACAGATTAGTTTTAGATACTTGTCCAGGCTTTTTTTATGGACAGGACTTTTCTCAGGCAACTGCAGTCATTCTGTCCATCAGGAGCAAAGTGACTGGCTGGTTTCTGCAAATGCTGCCAGTTTTTGATGATAACTCTTTACTGCCATGGGAGGTGAGGAGTTCCGTGAAGGATTGAAAAGTGTCTCAAGAGGGAACTGGCCAGATTGCAATGTCTCCTCAGCCTGTACACATAAATTCATATCAGTTGTTTGGTTGAATTTAAGGTTTGAATGGAATTAAGGAAGTTTTACATAAGTTTGATGGTAAGTTAAAGTTGGGATATAGAGGTTTCTAGGGTTTTTATTCCTTGACTGTAGTTAATGAAATCCTAATTTTTTAATTTGATCTGCATTTTTCTAGTGTTCTGCCTATGGCAAAACAACTTGTTTTTTAAGAATATGGAAACTTTTTTCTTGAGAGTAAAGAGCAAGGCAGATCAGAAGCTTTTGATGGAAAAATGATCATTTTATCAGTTGTTGAAATCATCTGATTTTAAGCTACATTTATGATGGTTTAGTAACTGAAACAATCCATACTTTATGTGAATAATACCATTACTATTGAATATATTTAATCTCAGAAGTATTTTAATTTTGAAGTTCTGAATACAAAATTCTATCAGCTGTTAAAGCGTAGCACTTTACACAAACTATGTTTTGTTTCCTAAACTGAAGTTACATAATGGGAATATTATTAGAATATTTAGCTTCATGACTGATTTAATTTGACTTAAATATTAATAGTATAAAGTGTGAGTGCATGAGTAGAACTGCACAGTACGCTTAATTGGGACCTGCATCAAGGAAACTGTCACACGTAATTACCTCCCTTAGATAAGGATGCCTTCCTAGGCTTGAATCTTTCTGAGGTTGCATAAAACTATATGTATTTGAATGTTTGCAAGTTCAGATTATTAGTTTAAAGCAGAATACTGATACTATGCATTCTCTTGATTTTATTGTGCAGGAGTGTCAATTACAAAAGGATTGGAATTTCCTTCCTGATCTTTTGGGGAGATGACTTTGCAGTAGCGTGTTTCTTAACAAAGCCTAATCTTTTAACAGGAACATCCAGATGGACAATCAATTAAAATAAATTATTTCCAATATAAAATTGCAAAAGCTTCAAAATGATAATGAAATATAGTACACAAATAAACCTTCTAAAAGCTGGCCTTGTTTCACATTATTTTCTCCATTTGATTGCTATTTAGCAACAATCTTTGCTAAACTAGTGAAAATTATTATCTCGAACATTCTTAACATTTAATTACATGATGCTTGTAACAATTATGTAGAAAATCATATTAGTGCTATTGTCACTAAGTACAAATCTGTGCCATGCAGACTATAGTTAAATTTCTTTTTCTTTTTTTTTTTTTTTTTTTGAGAGCTATCCCTGTGTATTTATTAATTAAGGTATATTGTCTTCCTTAAGTTATCATGTACATTTGAAGTTGCTCTCATAAAATCAAAATTGCCCTCCTGGAGGGCATGAAAAAGTACATTTCTACATGTGTAGCTTTTCATATTGGTAGGTAGCACCCAGTTATTATTTGTGGTATCTGTATTCTTACTAGAATTGCTAATATATTGTGCAGAATTGTGAAAAGCCTTGTATTTATTTTAAGAGTTATGCTTTTAAAAACAACGGCATGGTATTTCTTGCAAGTATTAATATATAGAAGGGATATTGTTTGTTTAATTTAGGGACTGTTTTATTGTATGACTGTCACGTATTTGAAGACTTCTCATCTTTGAGTAGCTCAGTCCTCTCGGTAAATGTGGGAAATAGCATCACCAGCCTGCATGTGATCAACTGAGGCAAAGACATGCGGTCACAAAAACATCAAAGCACCCAGTACAGTATGTGAGTGGGATCTAGGTGCCAGAACTCAAGATTTTAGAACTCCGTTCTTTGACATTCCTATTTATTTTGCATAGCTCTGCTTTCAGCACTAAGTTTTTCACGTGTTTTAAAATCTGTCGCAGGAAGGGGCTCGGTAGCTTTCTCGAGCACAGCCTGGGGAGCATCCAGGTCCAGTTCCCTCCCGTGCACCCTGGGTCTCCCTCAGCCAGCCCAGAGCCTCTGCTGTGCAAGGAGTGCTCTCGTCACCTCCACGCTCTGCTGAAGCTTCCGTGTTCAGCCCTGCCTTGGTGGGGAAGACAGCTGAGAACCTCTGTCTAAAATGCTGGAGACCTGGATTCAGTTCCCTCTTCCACCTATGGGGATTCACGTTTGCTTCCCCAACCTCTTGGTTGTACTGACAGAGAAGTAAAAGGAAGTAGTGAGCAAAAAGTTCAGAAAGAAGTAGTGGTATAACAGGAACATTTTAAGTTCTAGAAAGACATTTTGATGAATAGTATGCTGTGAACCAAATTTCTGTTGCTGAAGGCTTGTCACCAAGGTTTTATCTTTCATATGTATGTTTTGAAAAAACAAACAAACAAAACCCCACCAGAACTGGATGTTCTTGTTTTGTAAAGCCTACAGAGGCAGGGTTTTAACCTGTGCAGTGAGGAAAAGTAACTTTTAATTACTCTTAGAGAATGGCCATTTTATTCCTTTTGATTTATTGTGGTTGACTTAAGAGCAGAGTTTGTAACTAGAACTTCAGGGTATAGAAAAATAACAGTAGGAGATGAATATGTAAGTAACACATCCTGTTTCCATAAAATTATGGTGAAGACAAATAAATGCATTTTACGTATGATGTTGCAAATATAGGAGCCTCTGTTTTCAGTGAGTAGGAAAAATCTTAAGAGAATATTTCCTGTATAGAAGCTTTTCCCTAGGTAATACATGCAAAGAAGTCATCATGGACAATATTTTGGAGAACAAATAATCTTTTCTCATGTAGAATGTAAGTGCATATTACTGTTATAATCTAGTGAAATGCACTGACTCATGTAAGTGCTGGTCCAATAAAATCAGGTTAGCTTTGTAGTAAAGTATTGACCTGTGCTGTTATATATAGGAAAGGTTTAGGTCAGTAGGACAAACTCTTTGTTACAAAACTGAAAAATTAAAAATCAATAATTCACAGCAGTAACAACAGGCCTTTCTACTAGGTAGTAGAAGGGCGTTTTATCTATTTTTTTTATGTGTGTTTAGTAATGAGAATATTTTTTGCATTGTTAAATTGCAAAAAAAATGGATTAGAGTTCTAGATTTCTATGTGCTGGAGAGAACCTAAAGTGCTCTTCCAGTTCAGCTCCTTGCTGTGCCACAAGATCATTGATACCTTGACAGCTGATCACAGTTATTCTGAAAAATCTGCAGGTAAGACTGTGAAATTTCTCACTAGGCTGTTCCAGGACTTCACTGACCTTGAAGGGTTTTTGCTGGTATGAAGCCTTGGTCATCTTTTCTGCATGTTAAAATGCATGTACTGTTTATAGAGGAAGAGAATGAAGAGTTGCAAAAAGGAACTTAGGTAGACAGATGATTTCAAGCAAGTAAGTTTTATAGTGTAGTTTCACTGTGGGTAAGGTATTATCTATTCTGAACATGGCCTACATGTAGCTTTACAGGTAGGCTGAACGAAGCTTGTACGAAGATGAAAAGTACTCTGGAAACACTGCAATGTTGCTATGAGATTAAAGCTTCATTTAATGGAAGTGTATTTGTCTTGTACCAGTTAGCAATTTTCATTTTTGAACTCATTTTTATGATGTGACACGTGGTCAGGAAGCCTACATTTTGTAGGCTTTGTTACAAACACTGTAACAACTTTTCTTGCTGTTTTCTTGAAAAAAAAATGTTGACTGTATACAAGAAAAAACTCCTAAACTGAGACCTGAAGTGTTTCTGTTATAAGTCCAGATGCAGCTTTTGGGCTTAGCAAAAAGTCAGGTTACTTCCCAGCAGCTGAGGTTACCCCAGAATACCTCATTTAAAGCAACAAAACAACTAGGTTTCCACAATCTGAGCAATGAAGTATATACTGGGAAAATATTTTTTGAGAAGACATCTAATATGTAGTATCCCCGATTTTATGGTTAGGTCCTGCAATGAAAAGTCTTTATTGTACTGTGAATTTTTTCTAATGGAACTTGTGATGACTGTGGGGGATGCTTTGTACTTGCCATGTTTAAAGCCCCTTGGCTCGCTGTTTACAGGCAGCGGCTGTTCGGATAGCAGGGCACATTCACAGCAGTGCACACTCATAGCAGTGCGCACTCATAGCGGTGTTCCTGAGTTCCCTTGCACTGTGGCAGGCTCTAGAGCTGGTTTATCCCAAGTGGCTGATTCCTCAGCTCTGCTACAACAGAAAGCTGCTGTCAGAAATCCCTGGCAGTGCTGGATTCCTCTCTTAATCCTCTCTTCTTTGGTGTTCTCTCTCTGTGAAATAGTGAGAATGCATGGAAAATCTGAATTTTCTGGAAGCTCATATGATGGAAATTAAAGCATCATTTGCTCTCTGCTAGGATATAATATTCTTCCTGCCCAAGGCAAAGGGTCTATTATAATTCTGTATCCCTGGATCAGTTAAATTCCTTGTAAGCTAATATATTCTAGACAGCTAGACAGTAAGTTTTTGTCTTTTTGCATGTGTTCTACCATTTTGCTGCTACTAAATTCTAAGTCTAGAGAAAAACCTTAATGAAGGATGAATAAGAATTTCCTAGACTTTATTATCCTCGGAGTTTGTTTTGGAAAGTAAAGGATCCAAAGTTTAATGTGCACAGGGACGCTAACAGATTGTGTCTTATCTTACCAGTGGCAACAAGTAGGAATTGTAATGGTTGCTTCTCATTTCCTGCTCTCAGCTGAATGATGAAGCAATGGCAACACACAATTAGAAATTATTTTAATTCCAGACTGTATTAGTCTTAGTTGCCTCTGTGTGAACTGAGTGTATGTTAAGGAAGTACGTTTTGTATTGGTTGATGGAATGGAACTTCTGTCATTGTCAGCTATTTTCTCAATTTCCTATGTGTTACTGGGAAGTCAATTTTTATTGTAACTGTATAAAACACACAGAACTTTTCTCTGTTTATAGGGCTGTGACTCGCAAATGAGCATGTCAGAAGTGTCCTGCAGTGAAAGTACCTCCTCGTGTCAGTCTCTGGTACATGGCTCGGCTCCAGAAATCCTCATTGGCCTCCTTTATAATGCCACAACTGGAAGATTATCAGCAGAAGTGATAAAAGGCAGCCACTTCAAAAACTTGGCAGCAAACAGACCACCCAGTGAGTGAAAATCTTTTCTCATCCTCATGCTTCAGAACTGGTGGGATTCTCAATAGCGAGGACGTCAATGCTATCATTTACCCTTACTCAACCAAAATGAAATAGAGCAGTCATCGACTAATCTGTTTCATGTTTTATATTTCTAGTTGACTGGGAAATAGCAAAATTCTAAAATTCCAAATATTAATTGCAAGTTGACAAGACTTTTAATTTTTCATGATAACTGTCTAATAAATTACTCTTACCCTAATAATTAATTGCTCAATTACTAATGCCTCACATACAGGCCAAGAATCGAAAGTAGCAGTGTTTAAAGAGAAAGTATTTGCTAATATTGATATAAACACAGTGAGCAGCTCTTGCTAGGGAAGCTAGCTAGGAAGCTCATTTCTAGGGAAGTTGGTACTACAGTCTTTAATTGCACGTGTGCTTGTGCATATGTGAAGGTAACGTACGTAATTTGGGAATGTCAGGGAAGATAACAAAGAACCCAGTTGTGACTTAGGCCAAATATAGTACAAGAGAAGGAACGTTCATCATCAGAAGGGACTTAAACTGAGTGTTCAAACATTCATTCAAAAATACATTTGTCCAAAATAGCTGTCAACTTTATATACTTGTAAATTTAAGCCAGATGGAATATGTCACATGCACAGAATATTCTTACTCCATCTTTAGTTCCTTGCTACAGCCGGCGAGAGTCTAGTGATGAGGGAAAGCAGGAAGTGCTTTCAAGATCATCAGTGCGACTTACATAAACTGTAGCCAGGCCTCTTCCTCTTGGTTCTCTTGGGAAGCTCAGGGTTTGGCCTCTCTTCCTGTGTTTCTAATGCCCCAGGTTTCTGTAGCATCAGCAGGTTGCCTGACAGGCTGCCCACACTGTAAAAGTGGACTGTGCATCGCAGCTTGTCTTCAGACTTTAGCAGCGAGCCCCACAATATGAGACCGTTCCTCTTTCCTTCTTGGCCCAAATTTTGTTTTGTTCATTAATTACATTCGGTTTGGCCTCACTCTGTTTTGGTTTTGTATCCTTTTCACACTGATGTAGCCAGGCTTTGTTAACGTGGCTCGAGAAGGAAGGTCAAAGAGGGTGAGGTACTTCTGTGTAATTAGGGAGCTGCCCCAGAGTCACCTGCTTGAAGAGATGGAGAAAGCTAGAAAGGCTCCATACACCGAGGCAGGGGAAAGAATGAAAGGCAAAGAAGGTCTGGAGAGAAGGGGCTGCCGAGATGAAAGTGCATTGTGGGGATGCAGCAGCTGCTCTTTGTGCTCCGCTTCCTACAGAAGGGAGACTCGGGCACATAGGCTTTCATAGGTGATGAAATTCCTGACCAAACCTGTAGTTTGGACTGTCGGTGGTCGCGAACCCTTAGGAGAGCTGCAGAGCACATGTGCAACTCAAGTTTTGTTTGCCTCCCGAGAACCTACCTGGAAAGGACAGCAATTACTTTCGTTTTCCCCACAAGTGAACTTTCCTGTCGCCCAGAGGATTCTGTACAATTACTGTGAAGTGTTCCTGAAGCAAATCAGTATCGAATCCTACACTTCTACTTCTTGATAGTGTATACTGCCATGCTCTTGTTCATACAATTATACTGCCATCCCCTTGCATGTACAATATGTAGTAACTTATCCAAGAGCAGAGTGCAAGCAAATTGGCCAACTTCTGTAAGCAATCAGAGCTGATGTTAGAATGTCCCTTGGTTCTATAGATTTTACTTCAGGCTTATTCTCGTGACCAGGTCCAGCACTGTTTGAGAAGTGAGGCATTACAATCATGTCATGTGAATGATAAAAGCTAAGACCAAAACCAATATGAATTTATAGCATTAGATTTCAATTCAATGATTTTTCATTTCGTTGCTTTTAGTATATGAAGTATAAGTACTCTGTGCAGTTTTTCTTAATATGCTGGAGTTTGCATGAAAAAGTATGAGGCTTGATAAAATGGATACAGTGATTTTTACTTGGTCTTTTATAACCTAATCATTTGCATGGTTCTTTCTATGTTCAGTGTGCTTTAAAATCCAGTTGCTATTAGTGCTAGATATCCCACTATGTAAGCAGTGTAATTTTTGTTAAAGATTACACAAAAACTGCACAAAAAAAAATCATTTCATTAAATTTTACCCAACAATCCTTTTGTTCAATCCTTTTCCTGATCTCTACTGCTGAGTTTTTGTGTTCATCTGCTCCAGTGAATAGTGTTTCCTCTTAAACTTTAACCTTTAATCCTCTCTCACCCAACTATTGACATCTGGTCATTATTTCTTTTACTGCTTTCCACCCCCTGTTGTCAGACGGACTGTTCTGTTGTCTAAAACACTTGATAGGTGGACAGGTTTATATAATCCGAGGTGAGTTCCTGTAGCGACTAATTGGATGTTGTCTTTTTCATGCAAAAGAAAACTTGCCAGCAGTAAAGCTATCCACGGCTGCCTACCATATTGGTTTACAAAAGTATATGTTTATTATCCGTGGCACTCTTTAATGCAGAAGCTGCATTCATCTCTGAGTATGGATGATGGGATTTCAGTGTACCTGCACAGTGAAAACATGCAGTGAGACTCCAGTCTCTTAACAACATTATTCATTAACATGAAAGAATCATTTTTCTTAAGGTTTCGTACAACTTTACATTTCTTAAAACCAGTTGTACCTCTGAAGTGCACAGTAGCATGGCTTGATGCTTCTAGTCCCATAAAAAGGACAGCTTTAAAAATAAGGATTTGTATCCAAAGATTGAAATTCGAGTATGCTAACCACATTTACCCTCGTTGACTTCTTAAGTGTACTTCCAAAGAGAAGTATACAATGTTTTAAACAACAATAATAAATTAAGCAGAAACTTTTTTTTCTTTTTAAAGACGTAGTAAATGTTATCTGTCCTGAATTCAGGAGCTAAGAGGTATGTTGTATTGTGTAAGCCTCCGCCTTTAAATACCCTTGGCTACATTTGACTCTTTAAATATGAATAAAATAATTTAAAAAGTGAGAAACCACATCCATGCAGAGATAATTTCTAAGCATTCCATTCTGGCTGTGTTGATATTATCGCTACACATCAGCATTATTTTTTTTCTCTTGATTAGTTGTCTTCATTCTACTTTGTTTATTCTTCTCTGAGAGTTCAGTGGTTTGCTTTACGGTGTTGTGGCTAGTTGGAGCTTGCTAAGTGTTAATGCAATTTGAGTTTGCTTAGAGCAAGTAGGGGGGCGATGGGCAGGAGGATTATGGGGTATACCTGTAACCCATTTACCTGGTACAGAAGCTAGTTAACTTGTTATCGTGCTTGTAATATTTTGCTTTTGTCATCTTTTTCATGTGTCTAAAGTAAGCTATGTGCAATCAACCTGGTATACACCATATCCTTATATAATACATTGCATACATCTCATTGTCCAACCCTTTTGTCACAGAAATCTGACGTTCCAAAATGTGCTCTCTTTTGTAGATACATATGTTAAATTAACACTGCTGAACTCCATGGGGCAAGAGATGTCCAAATGCAAAACATCAATCCGTCGAGGGCAGCCAAATCCAGTGTACAAAGAAACCTTCATTTTTCAAGTGGCCCTGTTTCAGCTCTCAGATGTGACACTCATACTGTCTGTATATAATAAACGCAGCATGAAGCGAAAAGAGATGATAGGGTGGATTTCCTTAGGTCTCAACAGCTCAGGAGAAGATGAACTCAATCACTGGACTGAAATGAAGGAATCTAAAGGACAGCAAGTATGTAGATGGCATACTTTACTCGAATCCTAATGGATGGATGGTGCAAAGTACAGTTGTGGTTTAAGGGAGTTTTGTCTTTTGAGAAAGACAACATCTTTGAGAAGATCATCGTTTGGTCGCAGTCAAGAGATTTTTTTGTGGAAGAAAGAATTGAAAATTGAAGTCAACATTCCATGTTAAAGAGTGCACAACATGCAGAACAGAGCGAATTAATACGTCATCTTTGCATAGTATCAGACACACTTTGGTGTCACAGAACCCTTACTTTACACAGATATGCTAGCAGTCCCTCCCCCTTCCACCCGATGCTGTATTGGTTTGGGTTTGTTTTGTGTTTTTCCATTCTGAGGTATTTTATGTAAGACTCTCCAAATTACTGCAAGTTCCTCCTTGTGTACTTTCTTTTTAGTCTCTCTCTCATACTTCCGACCTGCCTGCATTCAGATAAAGGGTCAATAATTTGCACTATGAGAAAAAGTTATTGATCTGTATAGCAAAAAAAGAAAAAAACACAACAAAAAAAAATGGATAAGAACATTTAGTAATATAGCATATGTGAATATACTGTTGTTTTACACTGAGTTTCTTTCCAGGAGCTTAGTGCAACTAAGTTTTCATTTTTAATATGTGATTGGTTTGGAAAATTTTAGCGTTGGAGCATCATTTGACATAAATTAAGTGTTTCTTCAATCTGTGACAGGAATAAGCTCTGTATATGGCATAAAGTGGGTTTTTCCCTCTTGCCTGTACTTCTGCCTAATCCAAAGAGACCAGGTCATTAGCCTGGTCCCTTCCAAATCTCCTTAGACAGGTTGTACTGTAAAACTGTGTAACTTTCTGTTGAAAGCACTTCCTGTATTCATGTATTCCAATGTAGGAAGCTCACAGAGGATGACTCTACTAAAATGTCTTTTCATTAAACAAGTTGATATGGGTTTCTCTAAAATGTCACTATGTAGGTTAGAAGACTGCGGAGGAAGTGGCGGCAGTTGAGCTTCTCAGAACAAACAGGAGAAGTACTGAGACTGTGGTTGAGGCGGCCGGCCCCTTGAGCCACCTAGGAACTATTTTAGGGATTGCTGTACGGTGTTTAGTGGAAGCAGAGAGCAGACCAGGAGTTTGAACCTTTCTTCTCAGAGAAGAGAACATCAGCAAGTAATTTTTTTTCCCAGTAACCTGCCAGCAACTGAATGAACACCGGCACCCAAAGGAGCAATTTGCTTTGCCCACGTTCAGGTTGGGAGCTGCAGCTTTGTCAGGATGACGCAGTTGCAACTTGGCCTTCACAAAGTCCTGCAGCTTCTGCTGGCGTGAGCAAAGGAGCAGTGCCCCTGGGCTCCCCCTTCGGCCCTAGCACTTTGACTACTGGCACCTTTAACTTGCTGACTGCCGGGTCCGGTTCAGGTTACTGAAGTTGTGGATTATTGGGTAAATGCTTTTTAAAAGGCTTCCCCATTCATATTGTCTGTAATTCTAAGTTTCATTTAATTGTTACTATATGGAAAGCAAGGAAATCTATATTTCTTATAAATAACAATGTCTTACTTCTCATAGTAGTAAGTGGCTATTGCAGCACTTCTGCGTAGAAGAGTGAAGTGGGTTTGTTTATTTGTTTTTTTTTAATATATTTTTATTTGTATGTGTGTGTGAGAATTAGTGATAGTCTGGAGCGTTCTCATTAGGACAAATACTGTTCTCTTAAATTTCTTTATAATACCTTTTAACAGTCCTGGCTTTAAGGTATACAGTCAAGTACAGTGAGACTGCAGACAGTGAGTATATTATAAGAATGATATTTCATTTGATACTCCAATTCTCACATTGCTAACAATTTCACAAGGTCCTTTTTGAAGGATATTGTAATTCCATTCCCTACTTTATTTGGTGCCTTTTGAAGGGTTTATTTGGAGAACCAAGTTTTCAGTTTTTATTGATTTAAAGATTTAAAACACCTTATTACATGACTTGTTTTTTGGTATTGTATTATTGCTTCATTTGCAGAAGCCTTATCTACTAAAAATATATAATCCCAACTTTATTTAAGCAGAAATTGTCTTACACTAATACAAGCTGTGTATTTCAGTCCTTTTCGTTATCCAGGTTGTGAAATGAAATGTTAAGTGTAGAATTTAACAAAAATCAACCTTATTTTTATAAGCATAAGTCAAATGCCTGAGCCCAAACTGCCATAAAAGGCAGTTTTTCAACAGACATAAAAGGATTTTTACTCATTTTCTTTGTGGCTATTGGAATGCTATTTACTAAAACTGAAAGTTGTGTATTAGTAGCTGTCTCATATTTTTTCTATATAAAATAGTGTGCAGTGCTCAACAGCAAATTTTGAGCCAACTGTTTCAAGTGGAGGGTTAATCTTCCAATGAAGTCAGTTTGGAAGGTGCAGCAGGTAACCTGTTACAGAATCCATGCTCAGCTTAGCAGTGTCGTGACTTGGATTGCAGTTTGTAGGGTGCAATGCTTAAGATTTACACGCTAATCATTCATCTAAGACAGAGATGTCTTAACTTAGACACAGCAGAGGTTTCTAACAGCCTACTGTATTTGGGATGTGTTTGGCATAACGCCTTCTAAATTATGTGACTTTTCCTGAGATATCTAGGTTCAATTTGTGCTTTACAGAAAAAAAGGGTATGGCTTATATGGGTTTATACTGTACAAAGGTAGAAATGAATGTATAAAGGATGGAAATGAATGTATAATTTTAGGCAGTAGAAGAGTTTTCCATGCAAAACCAGTCACACAAATTATTGGAATTTGCTGTAGGATTTTTATGAATTAGTTCTAGTATCAGTAACTGCCATGTTGCTTTTTGTTCCTAGACCCCATTCTTGTGTTTGTCACTTTATTTTGCTTATTACTTTATGCAAAACTACTCTTTATTTCAAACCTACCTTTAGATAAAGTCTTGTTAAACCCTGCATTGTGGCTCACACATAGAGGTTTAATGGGAGGATTATGCACTCCATTAAGTCTCAACCATGGAACGGAATCCATACAGAACAAATAATGGAAATGGCTCGAGGCATTTGTTTTCCTTGGAATGGCCAGTGCTCCTTTTTTTGTAGTTTTTTTATTCAAAAGTACAATTATTACTTGGAAGAGCTTATCAAATTATGTGACTACTTCTCTGTGTGCCAATCTACCATGTAAGGACTATAATTTTTGAACTGAATCTGTTTCTGATCTCTGATCTGATCTCAGTTTATCTGCCTGATAATGTAGCCTTAAATAATTGTAGAACAATCAAGTTCTTACGGATTCTTTACTTGAAAATATTTCATCCTTTCTGCATAAAATCTATTTGGATTGAGGCTTAGAACACTGCACATTGGTCTTCTCAAAGGTGGCTCTTAGAGAATATAAAGAGAAAAGAGAGAATATAAAGAGAGAATATGAAGAGAAAAGGCAGTGGGTTCCATCTTTGCCCTGTGGTAACGGCGAGACTGCCCCGACGGGCCGGCACAGGCGAGTGTGACGCAGCAGGATGAGAGGAGACAAACGCAGGACGTAGCTGTCTCGTACGCACGTGGAGGCAGGGACTGGGCAGAGCGGTGCTCGTACTGCCCTGGAGCCCACGGGTCCGGCCGAGAGCGGAGAGGGGCAAGGCCCGGCCTAGAGGGGAGAGGGACAAGGCCTGTCTGTGGGGCCGGGGAGGCGGCAGCGGCCACGCGTCGAGGAGCGGCCCCACGGGCACAGGGAAGGCCCACGGGCTGTTGCGTGAGGGACGTGACAGAACTTCCTAAGCTAAGGAAAACCCTTCAGCCTCATGGGTAGTAATTAGATATCAGAATACAGCGGTCTCTGGGAATTGGTGTGCGTGCTGTTACTGCAGCTGAAGAGGCTGTCTATCAATTTAGTCAGTGCTTCAGTGGAAAACTGATTTTGTAGTATCTGCTGCAGAGAATGTTTTTGCCTGTGAACTCTTGTAACCGTTCCTGGTGGCTAGCCTAAGTACCTTCCTATTTCCTCGTCTTTGGATCAATTAGACCTTTGTTGTGGACCTAAAATCTGTATCTGTGTGTTTTTTCTCTCTCCTCCCCAATGACTTGCTCTTGTGAACTCCCCTGCATCCTGTGAAACTCATGGTAGTCACTTGGCCTTGGAAGTCAGGAGCTCTCTGCACCTCCTGCAATAAGGTGCTGGTGCAACTCCTGACGGTTTCTAAAATGCAAGGAATTGGAGGGTTCATGTGATGAGGCAGAAGAAAACTCTTTTTTTTCCTTTATTTTTCCCTATAAGACATTTTAATGTATGAATTGAATAAAGATCACACACCATAATTCTGTGAGAAAGTTTGTGATGATATCAGGCAATTTTGTTTTAGACAAAGCCTTTTTGGCCTTGGCTGTTCTGAATTGAAACTTAACAGCAGGATGCCCTTTGATTTAACTGAGAGCTGTGCTGAGCCCTTTCCCCTTTTCGTCCCCCTTTCTGGAGGACTGCTGTCTCATCTCAAGCAGTCTCTAATACTATGGCTTGTGAACTGTAAGGCAGGCTGACTTCCTCCTTAAGCTGAATTTTAATAGCAGCTAAACATTCATTTAATTCCCTCTGTGATAAGCGTGCATATCTCCCATTAATGTTAATGAGAGCAACTCAGGGGCCATCAATAGGAGGATCGACTTGACCCTGGACGTGTAATAGGATCAGCAGATTAGAGAGCTGATACAGCTTGCCTCCTGCCACCTAAGCAAATGTAATTCCAATTATGAATGGAGATAAAAAGCAAATATCAGGAGACTGTTACAAATTCAAGTGCTTAATTACTCTCTTTTCTTTTTTGTTTCTCTTTACTGCTCACTATTAGAACACGTCATCTAAGAGTGTTCTTTATTTTGGGGCTATTTAATTCAACTGCCAAGTTTTGTAGTACACCAAAGCTGGATTTTGGACTATTTTGTTGGTAGTTTTTAACGCAGAAGTCACAGGAGAATTTGCTTGTCAGTGATCAGTGTCTGATAAAATTCTATCTTCTGAGAATGACAGCACTAAATTAAGTGATGGTTTGTTACCGTGCAGTGATGCAAATTCCACTCTTGGAGCCTTGTGGTCCTTGGAAGGCCTTTTCAGAGAAACAGTTTTGGGAACTGCACATATTCAAAGATTTGCGTGAGCACTTTACAATTTTAATACATTTTACGGATATAAGAAGGGTAAATAGTGTTAAGGATGGATGCACACTGGCCTA